TATCACAAACTTCAGGATTACATGGTCATAGATGTTCTAGCACGTCAAATACAGTGGGACTGATTTTTGCCGCAAATTCAGAGGCAAATAGGACATTACATTTACACAAATAACACTCTCTATTGTTGTTTTTTATGAAGTCAGCCCTTAAGAGAAGGCAAAACGGAGGACAGACATTGCAGAAGCGAGGCTCGGGTAAGGATGAAAGGAAAATAGCACCAGCATAGCAACTGAGGAATGTTTTACCACAGTCTTATCTTTGTCAGGTATTTTTTTTATGATGCAGAAATGTAGACAAGTTTGTGAACCAGCCTGTCAGCAGTTACCAATAAAGCCCTCCTTAAAGGCTCAGTCCCCCTCCAATTTGAGGTATATTTAATTAAACTGTTTAAAATACAGGTAGAAAATCAGCATTTAGTGTGTTTTCTTGTCGATGTTAATCCTAAATATACTATGCTTGGATCACAAAGCCAGCTAACTTTGGAGTTTTTCTCAGGCATCACAAAGTTGGCTCACTCTTAACTGAGCTAGATCACCATGGTGACCTTCACTGCATGGTTAACAGAGCAGATTCAGCTCAAAGGATCAGAAAGATCAAAATGTGTAAAAAAAAAACAAAAAAAACCATACTAACCAACCAGCTCATTTCTACATGCTTGCAATATTTTTTTATAAAGTGTGGCATTTACAATAAACTGAAAAGTAATCATGAGTACCAAGTGATACTTCTAGGAACGTAGAATCACTTTTATGTATCAATGCTTTGTAGCATAAGCAGTTGCCTACTCTGGATTCAAAACGGTGCACTCAACATTTCATTTCATAAAATAAATCAACTAAATTATGTTACTTGAATGTTAATATCTACTGCATCAGTTTTTTCAATTTTCAAGTCAACGACTTCAAGACTCCTGTCACAAGACGGCAAGTTGTGTAGTCTGAACAGCATGGCGATCGGCCGACGCTGAAAGCCACGTAGTCTGCAAGAGCCTTAAGCTAAACTTTGAGCCCCTCAATTAGCTGAAGGCGATAACTCTCAGTTTTGTGATTTTGTTTTTTGGGTACCTTTGGGTCATAGACTGAAATGCAATAAAGCTTTGAAGATGAATTAGTTGAAGCAAAGTTTTTAAGTAGAAAAATTAGACAGAGGTATATATGAGTGAAAGCAGTTCATAAGAATGAAACTTGTAAAAAAGACATCTGGAATAACAGTTTGTGAGTCAATCCATTAAAGTGAATGTAAAATGATACACTACATGTACACTAGCCAACAGATGAGTCCCTCATATCTAAATGTTGTTAACTATTGAGCGTGTGTCATTCAGTTTTCTGTCTTGGACTTGTAAACTCACATTCCTCAAAGCACAAATGAAATTGTGTCATTTGTTGTTTTTTGTATCTATTCTGCCTTGAGTCTCTGAACTGCCACAGCAATAGTAAATGAACAAAGGTTGTCTTTCAAAGCTCTTGCTTGTCAGTGTTCCTTGCACCTTCCAGTGGCTGAAAAGTGAATTTAATTTCTCTTTACAGTGAGGAATCTGCACAGGTTCCTGACAAACAATCTTGTTTTTAATCTCTCTCCTGAGGCAAATAGCGGACAGGGAGATAAAGCAAGCTCATTTGAACCGTATCTTAGCCTTGTTAAATAATCGATGCTTCTTAACAGCAAGCCCAGATATGGTAACTCGGGTCTGTTTTAAAAGCCTGGAGGCTTTTCTAAAGCTGGATACTGTAATGCTAACTTTTCAGATGAGACAGGTTACTGTGCTAAAATATACAATGGAAATACAACAATGAATGTATTTGTTTGAAAATTTAAATTAAAATGCAAGCATCGCTAAAACAGAACACTCTACTTCAAGGCTAATATGACAATAACATTTCCCTTTATCTATATCAGCAGAATTAAATCTTTGATTCTCAGCAACTTCCTCACTTCAGTCATGGAGAGGAATCAATCAATCATAGGGGAAAAGAAAGGCTTAAAATACAGAGTGATAATAAAACAAAGGGGCTAAAATGTTAAGAACAGTTATTTTTATCCTGCCCCAATGCAAAAACATCACACCTGCAACAAATCCTGCTCAATATTCTGGGATTCTATCCATCTCATGACAACAAGTGCAGGTACATGGTCAGCGGCTGTTAATAGAGCATTTCTCTCAAAAGCAGAGTAAGGTTGTGTGTTTTGGACAACAAAACTACAAGAGCACAAAAAAGGGTGAGGTGTAGTGGATCAAAGTCCTCTGGTTGAGTGGAATTGCAGAGCTGTGAGGCTGCTTATCATGAGGCATCAGCTGACTAGGTAACATTGACTGTAATAATGTTTATTAATAGTAAATAAAGGGAATTACAGTAATTATTCTGGCAGAACAGTCACTGAGGCAGATGGCATGATCAAAAGACCCATAGTGAGATTGCGTGTTTGTGTGTGTCACAGTCACAGACATTATTATGATCAGGGCATGTCTCGAGGCTCCCACGCGTGTTTCAACATTTTCCATGACTCTGGCTGCCTTCAATTAACAAAAAACAAAGCATCGGAAAATATTGTTTTAGAAAACCCATGCCCATGAGGCATCTTACAGTTCCCCTCTGCTGGACTACAGCAGCATGACAGAAACTGGGTGGAGGAAGCGCTCGTGAGCTATCTTTCTCCCACCCTCGCTTCATTCCATGGTGCAGACGTGGCCGAGGCTGCGTCTGTATGCTCTTCCCCCAGTTGCTCTGCCCCCAGGGGTTCTGGAGGGGGTCCGTCAGGACGGTGTCAGCCTACTGTCAGTAGCCCCGTCTGGCCAGCCCGAGTGTGGTTTTCTGACATAATATCGCTCCTAAAGGGCCCGCCCTGGCCTGTGGCACTCTGAGGTCTTCCTGGTGGAGGAAAGCAGACCAGTTGCTGGTGTTTCAGGTCCCCCAAGGCTGGGCTCCCTGCTTGTAAACACACCATCAGCAACTGGATTGTTCAGAATATTTCCCTGGCCTATCAGGTGCGCGGTTTGCCTTCACCTATGGCCGTAAGGGCGCACTCTACTCGAGGCATGGCGGCTTCTAGGGCCCTCCTCGCAGGGGCGTTGCTCCAGGATTTGTGTGACGCGGCTGGCTGGGCCACCCTTCACACTTTCATCTGGTTTTACAGTCCGGACCTTCCTTCTGCACCCGGCACCCGTGCGCTCTCCTCCTAGTCGTGCCGTCAGGTTCTGCACGCTGGGGGCAGGCGGGGTTTCGGTGTGGCCTAAGTGGGTGCCCTCGAAGGGGAACGTCTCGGGTTACGTATGTAACCCTTGTTCCCCGAGAAGGGGAACGAGACACTGCGTCGGTCCGCCACACCTCACCCCGCCTGGAGTGCCTTGCTTTATAGAAAAGGGCTAATGTGTCCTGTGTGCCGGCATGCTTACTGTATATACGCCTCCGGTTACGCCGTCACACGCTACCGTTCTAGCAACACCAATAGGATTGGAGTAGTTTCATTCATAGTTCAGCCCTGCCACGCCCAGAGGCGTTCCCATAGTGTCGTCACCGACGCAGTGTCTCGTTCCCCTTCTCGGGGAACAAGGGTTACATACGTAACCTGAGACGTTTTTCTCAATTGCTTGACCACTATAAGCAGGCTATTAAACTGAAATTTCAAAACTATAACTCCATTTTACAAAAAGCACACCCATTTCTCTAAACTCTACATACAAATCCCTTCAATTCTCATTGCCTACACTATGTGGTCATTGAGAAAACACTAACATTCAGTATTGTTCACTCAATCAGCACAGGTTGAGCTCAGTTAGCACACAGCTCCCAGGTGAAAACACAAACAGTCAAAATTGAAAACACACCAATCAGAAGCTTCAATAGATAGATAAAAGGGCCAGAGTCAGGTCATTCAGTTTTGAAACAATGGATCCAGAGAAATCTGAAGGAAGAGGTAGAGGACACCAGAGAGGAGGAGAAGGAGGAGGAGGAGCAGGAGCAGTATGGAGAGGAGTAAGAGGTGAAAGAAGAGGAACAGTAGGAGTTGGAGGAGGAGATGGAATAGGAGTAAGATGAGGAGTAGGAGGAGGCGGAGCAGGAGGAGGGTGGATGAGGAGGGAGGAACAGGAGGAGGGAAAAGGAGGAGGAGTATGGAGAGGAGGAGGAGGTGGAGAACAAGAATCTCTGGCCTGTCCCAGACCAAAGACAGGACGCTGGGGCAGAATAATTTGTTATTTGGTGTTGTACAGTACAGTAAGGAATAAAAAATGTGCAAATGTTTACATTTGTTATTTCTTTTGTTGTGTTCATCATGTAAAAAAGGTTTTCGAGGGGGAGAACCACAAGCAACATTACTAATAACCAGTTTTGTAGTATTGTTTGAATTTATCTCACCAGTGTGTAAGACTGTGTTGTAGTGTGTGTGTTTTTGAGGGCTTGTGTGCTATATGTCTGAGGGCAAACTTTGGTTTTTCAGCAAGATTGAATGGCTTTGAGTGGAAAGCTTCATTTTGACCTGAAAATAGGATTTTTGGGGAATTGGGTGAGAAGTTGTGGATTTGTGTTTAGATATTTCGAGAAAAAGAGGCAAAATTTCAAGAAATGTGTCTAAGCAATCGAGAAAAACTGTAATACCCATAAATAAACGTATGAACATTGAAAACACGCCAACAGGTAATACATGAGTTATTCAGATAATAAAATTCATAATTCATACAAGTAAAAACTTGAGAGTGAATGCAGAATGTTGCCTCTTCAACTGAACTCGTCCTAAATTCTGCATCATGGTAGCTTTTTGGCCTATATTTTCAATTGCATGACTTACAAACACAGAACAGAGATTTCTCACAGAGATTTAAAACTGTGGGTTTCAGGTTTAGTTTGTTTGATCTAACTACTGATGATTGAACATGTCAATTCTTGCTGGACTAAAATGTATTTGGAAAGCTGTTGTTGAAGGAACAAATGCAATCTACTGCGCTAAACTCCATCCGTCCAGATGGTGGCGGTAATGCGCCAGTGATTTGGGGGGAAGAACAAAAGAAGAAGATGGATCCCAGTAGTTTCTAGAACAAATGTTTCCGGTCGGCGGTATTTTGAGTGAAGACAGGTTAATTCGCGTGCTAAAAACTATTTAGTTTTGTACTTTTCCGGCTTTATCCTGGATAATTCAATGGCAGACCCAGGTATGTGGTAGATTTGGGTTCATATATATGTTTACATTGTCAAATATATGGCTGTAGTTTACACTGGAACATGTGATGGCAGTCAGAGTGACGGTGTGGTTTAACAAAGTCGTGCTACCATAAGGCTAACGTTAACTGTGAAAGGACCGTCAAACAACATTTTGACAATCGATGGTGCCTTTAAACGGTGTCTTCCACCAGACACGAGAAGTTTCACATCTTAAATAGACTGTATTGCACATATTTCGTCACGAATGTCTACATCTGTAGTGTTGTAAGTTAAGTTAATGTCGCTAACGCTACGCAGCAACTCATACGCAGCAACTCATACGCAGCAAGTTAACATAACTGAATGTTTAACGTTATGTGCCACAGAAAGAAATATAACTTACCTGACGTTTGTTAACATTAACCTACTCATAGAGGAAAGGTTTATTTTGTTGTCGGCTTCAGCAAAGAAGTATTTTAGCAAAACTCCAGACATGTTTTGTATGCTTTAATTTTAATTAAAGTAAACTCTAACACAAAGAATCAGTCACTTTAAATGCAGTTACATATCTAATTAATATTATTGTAATGATTTTGTTATTGGACATCCATGTGTGCACAAACAACCTAATTACTCATTCCAAAAGCCATTATCTCACAGGTCCCAATAAGGACAACATCAGAGCTGGGTGCAAGAAATGTGGATATCGTAAGTAAATCTTTGACCCACAACTTTCATAGCAAGTTCATTTTTTTGTGTTACTATTAGTCCCTTGGTAAAGGTGGGCTTGTTAGTCTGTTGTAAACTTCAGAGAGGAACAACTTATGCAGCTCTTACTATCAGACCAACTGTTTGTGGTAATAGTGAATAGAAAAATGAAGAAGTGGAGCAATAATTACAGTAGTACACAGATTCATATTCCCTCATAGCCACGGGAAGGGTTAGTTATAATTAAAAAAATAAAGTAAACATTAAAATTGTCCTGCCTTAGTTGTTCATCCATTCTCTCTTGGACATTCATTTTCCAGCGGGCCACTTGACCTTTGAGTGCCGAAACTTTGTCAGAGTTGACCCCCAGAAAGACATTGTTCTGGATGTAAGCAGCACCAGCAGTGAGGAGAGTGAAGAGGATGTTCCTGCAGTTCAGCGCATTGACAAGCTGGGGCGAAGTGGCCAGCATCGCAGAGGTAAAAAAAACTATGCTTCCCTCATCATACAAAAAGGGAGTAAGTAAGTAATTAAAATAGGAAAGAGATGTCCTTCTAAAATCGTCTTGGAAGAACTAATTTACAAATTCACTAAGCAGTTTTACATTCATGTGGCAATAAGATATTGTGAGAATAAGACAACTCTACGTCAGAAGTAATGTAATTTGATGCTAATACACACCACAAACACAAAAATGATTGCCTGCATTGGACTGTGATGCTTTGTACCGAAAGAGAGGTGGAAAGAATGTTGATGACTCTGGGTTTCTGTAGTTACTGCTGTTACATGATACAGTTTCTATTGTGCTCTTAATCCCTTTTTTTATTTTTATTTATTTATTTATTTTTTAACCTTTGGGCAGAACTAGATAACACAAGACTTTCATTTGGGAAAATATGAGAAAAGCCCAGATTAATTCTGCCACCTTTGGAACTCATCAGGTGGATTTTGTCGATTGCATATAGATGAGCCCACGAAGTTCAAGTTGATGAAGTCTCAATGTTGCTAACATTATACATTAGGGGTTTGATGAGGTTTAAAACATGATGGAGTTTCTCGTTAAGAGAAAGTGTCTCAAGAGACACATGCTGTTGACACCTTTCACAGGCTGTCATGCCACACATCAGTATTCCCACACAGTGAAAAACAAATATATAACTGATAACGAGGACTAAAACTAAGACAAAAACGTAGTAGTATGGATGTAGTCTCACTTCACGAATCATCTCCACCCAGCTGATGCAACATCGGCGTACACTGTGGTAGTAATCAAGTGAACCCACATCTCACGCTGAGAGTCGCAACCAGTGTGTGACCGAGTGGAAACATAACTGGTAGTTTTGCTTAATAAACATCTAAAAACTGAAGCACAAACTTGCTCTGTTTGGGACTGCAAGCTGTTTATAACTGAATTAAAATGAATGAATTTACCATTGAGGTGAAAAGGTGCCACATGCACACTTAAAGGTTATTTTCCCAAACAAAAGAGGAGGGAAGAAAGCCGCATGTGTTGGCTCAGCAGGGACGATATTGCATGACAAAAATTAATCTATATATATCAAATATATCTGTAAGCATTACAGAATGCCTGAGAGCCTTACTGCATTATATTCTGTTTTGTATATTTTTAATATTTAATTTTTTTTGAAAGTTTCCCTTTATGTAAATAAAAACATTTTCACCAATAATTGATGCAGAAATGGGTGCAAAAAATCACCCAGGAAATGCAGGAAATTAACTGTTTAATGCTCAAAATCTTCATATAATTCAGCGTTAAAGATTTCTTAAAGTCTTAAAATCTCGTCTTGGGAACCCAATATTGTCTCATTGTGTTACTTGCTGTTTTCAAATTACGAGCAGCTACTTTTCCAGTAAAAAGTGTCTTGATTGTTCTGTCTACAATCCTGCGCAGGTTCCCATGATGACGACGATGACAGAAAAAAGAGACACAAACAGAAGAAGAGCAGAGACAGAATGTCAAGAAAGAGGTAACTTTTATTTTCTTACCTTGGAATTTTTCTGTTCTTTTTTCCACACTGTCCTTGAAGATCATGTTTTGTTTTGTTTTTTTTAATACTATTCTTCTGACAACAGAAACAAAAAGATAAACATATACATAAATAAATATACAATGTATGTAAACATACTGTATCTATCGGACATGTACTGATAAGTCAGTGATTCTTTTACTGCATGAATACATGAATTTCTGTGCAGTTCTCTACTTTTTTTGAAATCAGATATTGGTTTGCTTACATCTTACAGGTTTGTGTCCTTTCAGTGATGTGTTTTTGCTGCTTTACTCCATAGGTCTGCATCGTCATCGAGTGATGAGAAGACCGGGAAGAAGAAAAAGAAACGCAGCAGGTCCTGCTCCTCGTCTGACGAAGAGAAGAGGAGGAAGAAAAAGAAACTGAAAAGCCACAAGAAGAAAAGCAAAAAGAACAAAAGGGAACAGGGGAAGAATCACAAGAAGAAAGAAAAAAAGAGGAAACACAAATCCTCATCTTCTTCTTCCAGCTCCAGTGAATCTTCAGACAGTGACTGAGACAACTGAACATATTTATTATTTGCAGACATTGTATAAATAAGAAACCTCATCTTGTCCACCAACAAGTGTCCATTACTGAGACATGGGTTTGAATGTTAATTTGTTCATTGCAGATAACAAATCTGTTTGCGGTTCTCTAAAGCATTTTGGAAAACATGTGCAAAGCCAGGGGAGATGTTCAGATATACCATTCCATTCTCCTTCCACTGTCATTTTACATTTGACACTGTTTGTTTTGTACAGAGGGATCTTAAGTGACACATGGTACATTCTCTTGACATACATATTTCTGAACATCACTGTATGGAAGTCCAATCAAGAAATATTTTATAAATTCAGGGGGAAGAGCCTTGATATTTTTGCTGTGAATGTTTTCAGGTGCTGTTTTTGTTTTCTTTGTATTTTATATACTTGGCTGCTTCAATGCTTTTGGGATTGTACCCAACATTCTTACATTTTAAAAGGTCAAATGTGTATACACATGATTTGACTCCCTGAAATTTTTGGTGGACTGGGAATAATTGCGGTTGGCGGTTACAATGACTAGAAATACTTGTGGTTGATGTATTGGCCAGTATTAATGAGGATAATAATATTAACAGTCAGCTCATTTCTTAATCAGTGCTGGCATTTCGGCAGAAGTTGAACTAATGTCTAATATCGGTAGACAAACTCGAGGTTTGGTCTTCTTTCATTATGTAATGTGCTTAAATGTTTATACTGTACTTTTTGCAGGGACGGCTTTAGGTACAATGAAACTCCTTGAAGTTCCTGGTAAGACACTGTTTCCTAGTAATGGGATTGTTGAAAAAATAATGGATTTGATTATGATTATTATGATTAACCACACACACCTTGTTGAAAACGAGAGTTAATTCCAAAGCATTTATGTGTTCATTTTGGGAACTGAGCCTCTGTATATACAGCTTTGTTTATTCCCTGTGCACAGTAACAAATTCTGGTCATCCCCTGACATGTTCTTTTTGTTGTAATAAAAATATTTGTATCAAACTACTGAAACTGTCTCAGTTTAGGTATTCAAATAATTCATAGTTACATCAATACAAAATGTGACATGGTAGTAACATAGTCATAAAACTTAACGTGCTCATGGGATGATGCTAGAGAGACCTGCTGACATCTTGCATGGTGACATAATTGTTATATCCTGAAGAGGGCAGCAAAGTACCTGGAATGGGCAAAAACATGTCTGAAATCTTACTAAGATGAAGGACAATAACATCAAAAATCTTTAAATGATGGATTACAACAAAATGTACAATGTAATGTGCCCAAGGCAAATAAACGCCACCTACTAGGCAGCACAATACATGTGTTCTGTATGTAACAAGTGTAACACGATCTGTAGGAACTCAAAAGTGTTGTGCATTTATCCAAAAGAAACTTTTCAGTATTATGGTCAAACAACATTAATAGTGTTAATCAATGGCACATGCCATGTATTTTATAGAAGAATATTATGTAAATTTCTAATATTTATCATTAATAGTCATGGTTTACAACTCCTGAGATCTGAGGTACAGTGACAAGCCGGTTCAGTTTCTTGTACAAACCATTAAAATGTTGCTGTTGTGTCTGTGTAGATCATGGGTTTGACACTGGACTACCAATCTGAGCAGGCTGTCAGCAGGTAAAATGGAAAATGGAAAAGCCTCCTTTTTGAAAACATTATTTACATATTTAATATAAATCTTCAAGAACTGACAAAAAAGGATATAGAAAATACACAGGCATAAATGAGGGGGAATAAAAACAGAATATTAAAGCAAGTCTAACTTTGCTTTTAACTATGTAATCTAAAAGTCAAATGATATGCCAAACCAATAATAACAGATGACAACCCTATGTCTAGACCTACATTATCTATCTTTGCTCCACCTTGTGGTCATGGTGTGAACATTCAGAAACTGAGCTGAATCCATTGAAGTTACTGCCATCATCTTTACTGATTATGTGCAATAATGTGCAATGGAGACAGGCAAACAGACAGACCGTGAAATATCGGAGTGTTGCAAAACTTCCTGACACTTGTTTGATTTGCCAAATAGTCATGAATAGACAAAAGTTGCAGAGTAACAACACTGTTTGGCTCGTCTCCTGTATGGCAGAGCCACCTGTGTCAAACATCAATCTATCAATCTCAATTGCTACATTAAGTGTTCGGGGGGAGAGGGGAGGGGGATTTAATAAACACAGGTAGTCACGTATATCACGTCCTCACAAGGAGATCCAATCCACATTTACATACGGCCACATAAATAAATATACACACAGTCACATGCATAAACATGCCAAGAACACCCTCAAACATAAATGATTACATTCAGAACAGTACGCAAACTTTCCTGTCACAACCTTTAGGAGAGAATGATACAAAGCTCTGCTAGGTTATCAGAGTGTCAGAGGCAAAGCGGCTCAGGGTGAATCAGGCAGGACAAACTGCCAGGACGTCGGGGCCAGACCACCTCCTCTGGTCGACCATGCTGCTTACTGCCTTGGCAGGTACTCTGGGTTGAGGCACCATGGTGGCCCACAGGCAGGTGTAGCAACCCATATGAATCATCAATTTACTGTGATCACACTACCTGCATATCACTCCCCGCCAAAACATGAAACTGCAAAAAGAGCCAGAGACCTTTACAAACCAAGGATCTTTGGGAGCTCTTGTGTTTTGTTCGATCTGGGCTGTCTGACAGATGTTTATAATAGCGCCATTAATTTCACTTTGCCTTGGGGAAGGGGATATCTTTTTAAACATCTGACAGCTACATGCTCGACTGCTGATCGGAGCCCGGCAATATGACAAGACACATTCCGCTCTTTTATCTTTATCATGAGGTGCAGAGGGCAGATTAATCAGATTTGTCAACAAAAAAAAATCAGCCTCTTCTGACAGCTAGTAGAGACTGTCAAGTAATCAATAAGAATTTGGTGGATTGGGAATGTCTGATTCCTGTGTGAGGTGACTCTGATTTGCACCCACATAGTGTCACATAGTGTCTGATAATTTCTGATCTTTACGGGATATTGTTTGTTTGGAGAAAATCTCAATAGGTACCAAAACACTTGCCCATGCCATAGATGAAGAAAGAAAAGACTTAATCTACAGACAAACCTCTTTAAAACAATAGTTCAACAATATGGATCTTAGATGAGAAGACCAATACCATTCCCATATTTTACACTAAATATGAAGCTACAGCCAGGAGATAGTTAGCTTAGCTTAGCATAAAGACTCGAACTAGGGGGACCCAGCTAGTCTGGCAGCGTTCGAAGGTAACAACACATCTAAAGCTCACTAACATGTTATACCTTATTTGTTTAATTCGTACAAAACCCAAAGTGTAAAAACCCAAAGTTGTGCTTATACTAGGAGTCGTGTGCTGGACTATTTCTTGGCCAGGTGAAAGGACTTCCTGCAGTCTTGGAAATCACTGTTCCTGTACTGCAAAGAAATAGTCCAATAGCTTCATATTCCATGAACATACACGAAAGTGTCAAACTACTCCTCAAATGTAATGTTTTACAAGTGTGATCACCGAGAAATCCACAGTAAGAAGTACTAAGCACCAAAGATATTTCTTAAATAAAAATACAATCATTATTGAGTACTATTTCATCAAGTTTAAAATAAAAAAGATCATTATCACTTAATTGAAAACAAATTCATAATTTTTTTCAGAAATAACAGTATTATATGCCTTATTTTAATACACTACAACAATTAAGGCTATACAACAATTAAGGCTATAGTAAAGTGTTGACAAAAGAAACTTGGAGAGCGGGAAACTTCATAATTACCCAGATGGTAAGAGGACAACTTGCTACAGAGGAGCAAATGAAGTCGAAGGAGTGCTGCCATGTGCAGCCACGCTAAGCAAACCATATGCTGTTTGTATAAGACAACAACTAGGTTTTCCTGTTTTCATCAGCTCATTGGCTTTTATTGAGCCTGTTGGGCTCAAAGCAAATGGAACTCCAGTGAGCCATTTAAATGAAAATGTGATGGTCAATGTCATCTTTTAGAGAGTTTAGCTGCAGAAGAACAGCGATTCAGCCTCCACGTAAACATCTTTGAGGCATTGATCTCAAACGTAGTAGAAATCATTTTGGCAAAATGGCTGACAAGAATGACTATACCACAGGGGTAAATGATCTCTCATTAACATAAGGTGTGTTTTCCAATTTGTTTATATAACTTTAGTAGCTCAGTTTCAGGCTTGTGTGGGCGGCCTGCTAGCCTCTGCACTGATGTCTGTTTTTAACCTTTCTTGGGGATTTGAGCACACATGCTCTTTTTTCCAGCAACGCCCTGCTTCACATTCATACAGTTACATTCATCCAACCTGGGAGCGGCCCAGTCCAACCACAGTCTCCTACTGAAGCCAGTGCACAGCTACACTGGAGATACAGTTAAATGCTTGGCTCAAAGGCACCTCAGTTGTATAGCTGTTAAAGGAGGATAGAGCATAACTTGTTCTGTTTTATCAGCGAGAGTTCATACCTGCAATCTCCTAGACATGAGCCTGCTTCTCTTAACCTTAAGGTCACCACCACTACACAGCAAAGCATAACATCTTCCCAGAAATAAAATGAAAATCCCTTATGCTGCACTTTGGTGGGAACAACCCAAGCTGAGAGATGGCGCCGGTTTTGCGTCTGTAACCACTGTTGAAATATTATTTCAGAGGCAAGCCGTCCCCGCATCTTGGAGCACGGTGAGCAGAGCACTTGAGAAACGCATTAGGGCAAAGGGGCAAGTTGGAGGCTATACATTTGCTACCAATTTAGTTCCTGCATCTTAGATTTCGTTCTTCCCTCCTCTCTTGGCCCCGAAACCAGGCCTAATGTAGTAAATGACCTCTAGGATAAATAGACAGCAGGCTACATGACCCCAGCCATCAAAAACGCAGGCTGTAATAAATACTACATAGCTTTACAGGAAGTGTGTTCGACATTCTCCCAAAACCTGCAGGGAAAGAAAACGAGGGGGCGAACGGGGTGAGTCTCTGTTCACCACTCTCTCTTTGGTCAAAAGCTTTTTTCCTGAGGTCTGTTATTACCGGCCTAGTTCCTGGGTTCCCATTCAGAGTGGAGCTTGTTCATATAAACCTTGAGGTTTTGAGGCATCGCTGGACTGACTGGGTGGCTTTCACCAGGGAATTAGCACAGGGTCGCATTGGATCACGATCAGTAGGCCCTCTACGGCTAACCTGTGTTGGACTGGGATGCTTGTGGAGGTGGTGGTGGTGAGGACAAGTTTCCTGGCTCTGGAATATGGGTCAGTCAGAACCCTGGATGTGTAGGCCTTGATCCTGTAAATCAACCTTCTGATGCTTTTCTACTTACTGTATAATTTCTAAATCATTTTGTTTAACCACCATTTTCCAGATTAGTCTTGATGAGATTGGCAATCTTCTCTACTGTAAGACCCATTTTTATATATAGCTGGAGGAAGTAGTGTATAATGTAGTTTTAGCCACTTGTAAAGTAGAACCATTTGAGGTCAGAGAGGACATAAAACTAGACAAATTGTATTAATTTGTTACTAATGTAATCTTAATTAGAACATGAGGTGTTGTAAATAATCTTTATGTCTATGATGCTTTAAAAATCCACAGGGGATAAAGCTGAAGGACATGGTATTTGGAATGTTTTGAAACAGCTTGGTGTACAATTTAAAGCAACATTATGTAGCAATTTTATCTTAAAAACAGCTTTAAAATCATTTTGATGGTACACTGACTTGTAACAGGGAGAATGGTGCCTTTTCCATTCCCACTCTGCACCTA